TTATTATTATTATTATTTTCCCAGTGGTTGCCTACAGGTAGCTGTAGGCATTGAGAGATTGTGTAGATTACAGTAAATCAGAATGAAAAGGTAGATTTTGTGTAGATGCATTTGTCTGCTGTAATTTTTTATATATATTAAACTTACTGTAATTGTACAGTTCATTTCTGTTGTAAACATCATTAAACCATTTTCCAAGTGTTTTAACATGTATGCGCTTGTTTGTATTTTCTCTGAGGTGTCGGGGGGAGCCTGATGCCCCTTGCCCTGCAGCATCAAACTGGGCCAGGGGATTGCTCTTCCCTGCTGGCTTGGCAAAATGGAGGAGAGCCCAGGTTGGTTTGGTTTTGTTTTTTCCTGTCTGCTTGAAGCTGTTGCTCCATTTCAGTATTACAGCTCCTCTCCTGAAAGAAGAAAACCAGCTTCAGTTGCTCCCTGAAGGCAAAGGGAACGCTCAGCTCGCACCCGCGGTGAGTGTCCCTGAAACAAGCGCTGGATGCCCTTTGAAATTCAGATCTACTTTTATATATAAAGAGCATAAAGGTGGTATTTCTTTCCTACAGATTTCTTCCCTGTTGTTTAGTGGCTGGTATTTTATGACTGCTGAAACTTTTGACTTCTGTATCTTGCAAATACGGTTATCATCATTTTTTAAAAAAAGATACATTCACTACTCCTTGTTCTTGCATCAAGAGCAGGGCTGCTTTGCAGCAGCAACTCTTCTGTAGTTTTCAGCTCGGTTGTTCGAGATTATCACACAGTTCTCAGATTTTTCTTGGCATTGCAGAAGAAAAAGAAGGGATCTAGGAAATTCTTTGCGAGAAACATTCATCACCAGGTATGGGATGTCTCAGTTTCCTTCCCTCCTTCCACACCACCCACCCCCTTCAGTGTCTTTGATATACTCCTCAAAAGCTACGAGCACCAACTGCAGATGCAGTTTTACGGCTTAAGAAATTAGGCACAGCCTTGTAATTGACGGAGCAGCAATTTCAGGTGGTTTTCCTGCTGCCAGTGCAGTCCCTTAAGGAATGCGCAGGTAACCTCCCCTGGGCAGGGCCTGCAGAGGCAGCTCTTGTTCCCACAGCCTTGCTGGTGGGACTGGCGGGATGAGCTGGGCAGCTCCTGCCCCAAGGTAGAACAGGCTTTATTTTGCTCGGCTGTTTTTGTCTTTGCGGAGCTGCTTACAGGCTGCCCTGCACAGTTGTGAGTCGCTGGCAAAACTGAGGATGCAGCAGGAGGTGAGTGTCTCGTTCATATTTGGGCTTACAGCACTTTCCCAGTGCCCCATCCCACCTCCCAGGATGTGTTTGGAAGCTCCTGTGGCAATGCACTCTCCTCAGGTTGAGTAGCAGATGACGCTGCTTGCTGGGTGTACATCGGCCCAGCTGGGGATGACTGCGCCAGGTAAGGAGCTCACACCATTGCCACGGCTGTTCATCACACACACAGGTCTTTGGTGCTGACTTTATTAATTAATCACAAACACATTACATTACTGAATTAGTGGCTCTTTGGAGTGATACCTGCACCATCTTTTAAAGATAACTTGATGGTAGACTGGTTTGGAAGCTGCATTTACACGGCCTTTTGTACACTTTCTGCTGCCCAGCAGTGATGGTTTTGGTCTGAGATGACAATCACCATACCAACTCTTACACAGGGAGCCTGTTCCGCAGTGACAGCTGGAGCTGTTGCTAATGTGAGGGGGCAGAGGTTTCAGCCAAATGGGATTCTCCAGGCAGACTTTTCCTGGCTTTTCCAGTATTACACTCTAGCATCTGAGTCCAGACTCCTTGTGCTCTTTGTAACAGGGGTATCTTCTGCCTGCTGAGCAGTCTCTCACGCAGGTTACCTGGCTTGTGTTCGCCTCCAGCTGCTGGGTGAGTGGCAACACCACTGCTTGATTTTCTTTTTGTTGGAGACTGGGGCTCATTTTCTTCATACTAAAAAGCTGGCATTTAGTCTCTGTCCTTCACTATAGTAACATCACATCACTTCTTACAATTTAGGAAAAAAAGTCATCCTCCATTGAAACAGTTTTTAAAAGGTAAATTTAAACCAGGAAGTTTAGCTGGCCTCTGTCAAACAGTAAAGATAAATAGTACAGGAGATAACTACAGCTCTATCTTTACAAGTTCTTTAAATGCATAATTACATGTCCTGATACCCCTGGAAGGCAAGAAAAGCTACAGAAACAGCTGTGTTACAGGTGTGGTCTGGTCCTACAACACAAATCTTACAAAAATTGGCCTAGTAACCACTATTATTGGAAGTAACTTTACAAGTATGTACATTTTAATAGCTAAAGCTTGCAGTTACGTGATTCAGGAGGGAAGGGAGAAGGGACTAAGACCAGAGATATTCCCACATACACTGCTTGTTTTGGATGATCCCTACTCCCCAAAGCAGGTGGGCATCTCTCACCCTTGCCCATCCCCTCCATGACTCCCATTTAGCGGGGAGGCAAAGGCTGCATTTGGAGAGCATCATAAGTGTCCTTGGTTGCTGTGCTGAGTCCCTGAAAAAGAAAAACAGAAGAGGTATGAGGGCGAGTCCTTAGCAATCCCCAGCTGTTCCTGTCAGGAACATGGTGCCAGTGGCTCAGTAGCATAATTCTGATTTTCTTTTTCCTGCAGAGGTTTTTTACTCTTGTGCGACTCCTCAGTCTTTGCATGGCCTCAGTAGCTATCACTCCCTTACCTGAAGGCAAGATGCAGCCTGAGTAACTGTCACGAACAAATGACTACAGCACCTGAACCTAACGGCTTATGCAGATCTTTTGCGTACATTTTGGTTGCCTGTTACTGACTATGAAGAGGTAACTGATGCTAGAGTGAACTTTGCTCACTAAATGAACAGACATCAAATTGTGAACTTTGGACTCCCCTGTAATTTGGCAAGGAAGCTCCCCCTCACAGCCCTTCCTGCAGTGCTGCTCCTGCCAGCCTGCTCTGGTGGGGGTAAATCAGTTGTAACCTGTGAGTTACAGATCCCTGCTGCAGCTGTGGAACTGACTCCTCCACCAGTGGGGCTGCAGCAGATGCAGGAGAGCTGCAGGCCAGCCCAGGAGCTGCCAGAGCAGAGGTAACTGGGGGTTCCAAGAGTGAGTGTTTTAGTAAGACACACGTGCTGTAAATCTGCTTGTAACCGTTCTAGCTACCCTTCACTCCTCTGCTAGGGTATTTAGTGGCACACTGAGTACACTGATAAGATAGTGCTTCTTATCAGCTACCTGTGACTATCTCAGTAGAGCAGGTTTTGAAGACAGCTACCATTAGCTACAAAGAAGGTGCCTTAGAGGAAAGCTCCCTGGCATGTGTTGCATCAGAACAACTTTTTAATAGATATATTTTTTGTCATTTTTGAGATGTCAGTGACAATGTACAGGCTTCTACAGAAAGTAAAATGCGTTTTGAAATAATTATGCATGGCAGCCCAAATCAGGCCCTAATCAGACTCCTTGCGACACTGAGACCCTGCAGCGCACCAAGGGCCTGGCAGTGCTGACCTGTGCATGCCCTGGATGCTGTAGTGAGCTGGGCCAGACCCCTGATGCTTTGAGCTTCAGCAGCTCTTTGGCAACCTGAAGGTTTCCATTTCAACCATTGGCAGACAGAGCTGTACGCGTCATCTGCCGCAGTCAAAAGGTGGCTCTCCAAGATGTAGGACTGTGGAAAAGGTTCCTACCCGAGCAGCTAACGAAGCGTTCCTGCCAGTTGTATTTAGAACACGCAGCCACTTTATCAAAGTACCAGCAGCGTGGTCTTTGCCCTTAATCTGAGCAACTTTCCTCAGGAAGGCACTTGGAAACCTCTGCTCCATCACGCGTGGTAACGGTGCAGTCAGCTCTGTGACTGGAGACTACAATTAGGCCATGAAGACAGATGAAGGAAGCCGCTGCTGGGGCTGTTGCCTACCTGGTAGACACCATCGTTGCCTTTGCCTCGCCGCCTCTGCTGCTTCAAGAAAGAAAAAGAAGCATACATTAATGGGTGCTTTTCCCATAATGCAAAAGGAAAGAAACCCCAGCCTTCCTCCATCCTGTATTGAGGGTCAGCAGCTGTGCTTGGCCTGGTGGACACCCTCTGCACAGGCGGGAGAGCTCCTGCTAAGTGTGGACCAGTCCAGGCCTGCTGCAAAGGGGGGGGGGGTGGGGAAGGGGAGAAAAATAGTGAAGATTAGAACTAAAAAGGAAATTATTTTGGTTTCCTGACATATTTTCCTGTCATACTGTTATAATGCTGCTCTTTCTTTGATTTACTGTCTGTATAGAGATTTGGCAGCATTCCTATAGCCACTAACTGTTTTGTGCCTTAAGGCACACCTGGAAGAAATGGGGCTGTAACTTTTGGATTGCAGGTGTCTAAGGGACTGCACCTGTGTTGGACAGACATGGGTGAGCAAATTCACCAGCACCCATTCTGTAAACTGTCTAGATGTTCAGAGGAAGTGCAGATAAGGCTGTCTGAGGACAGAGTCACGCAGGAGTCAGTCAAACAGGTGCTGGGACTGTCGTGGTCCAATTAGACCCCACAAACAAGGTCACTCAGACCAGGTACAAAGAAAAACCTTCCCCTGCTGCTGCCTTCCCAGGGGTCCAGGGAGCTGCCGGGCAAAGCAGCCACGTTGTGCACAACAGCACAATTTGGACGTGAGAAGCGGGGCCAGCAGAGCTCACAGCCCCTGCATGGAGGCTGGTGGCCAAGCCCACGGTTGGGCATCACCGCTCCGCAGCAGCAGAGCACCCACTGCATTGCGAACCTGGGGCGAGGAGCAGTGCCTGCCACAATTAAAGTTGCAGCAGCCTGTTAAATGATCGTATATCCAGAATGAGGGAAGGGTTTTGGTGTTCCTGTCCCCCCAGTAATACAAGCATTCATAAAAACATTGTGAGACTTCATAAACCCATAGCTTGTAAACTGAGCTGGACTATGGCGGAGGGGCATTAGGATAATAAATAAAAAAAAAAGAGAAGAGGGCTAAATGGTGGTGTTGCTTCAGTGTTCCTCAGTGCTAAACTTTGTTTTGAAATGCTCTTTTTTTCCCCACTTTCCAGAGGGAAATGAAAGGTTATATATAAGACACTCTGACATAAAATAGAACCTGTGTAGGTCACAGCAATTTTTCGTTTTGCCATAAACAGTGTCCCCAGATGGTTTCTTTTCCACACAAGTCGGCAGCTGGTGCACAGAGCTAAAACTACCCGTTTGCTGCGAGCTTTAAACATAACTGATCTGTTCCTTCTTAAGTATTTGAGAGTGGAGGTGGAGGAAGGAGAATGTTTCCCCATTACTTGACAGGCACAAGGAGGAGCCGCAAATGCTTACTTGTTCCTGTAAAGCACAGCAGCATCCATAGCCCATGGAGGGGAAACAACCCCCAGCTCTGAATTGCCCTGGAGTAAAGTGCTCAGCTCATGAGAGCTGCTGGGCCACTAACGCTGCAGCACTTGAAACCAGACATTTCTTTCAACTACCCCTCACCCATCCCATACCCTCAGCCATCAGAACTTTTCTGTCCAAAAGTTGAAATGTTTTCCCTTGATGTGATTCAGTTCACCCAGGGCCATTGCTGGTGACCAGACTGTGCTTCTAATACTGATGGGACAAAGCTCGCTGTCCGATCTCCACCTCATTTTACTGCTACTCATCTTCTGGCTAGAGCCATGTGTCTTATTTACTGCTGCACCAGACCCACTGGTTACTACAGGAAAGAGGTAACTGCTCTCAGCTGTGCCCGCAGGTGCTGTGCAACACGGGGACTTCCTTGTGCAAGGCAGCTACGTGCAGCCAGGGCTACTGCTCTGTCAGGGAGCAGCAGGGAAAAAAAAAAATCTTCATCCCAGGCTTTTACCAGGAAGGAAAGTAGGACTCACCTCTCCCTTCATTCCAATTTCACTGTAGGCCTCACCCATCTTGTCCTTCTGCAGGGACTGC